CAGAAAAATGGCACATACAAGCTGGTTGAACTTCCAAAGGGTAAAAGACCACTCAAATGCAAATGGGTCTTTAAACTCAAGAAAGATGGAAATGGCAAGCTGGTCAGATACAAAGCTCGATTGGTGGTTAAAGGCTTCGAACAAAAGAAAGGTATTGATTTTGACGAAATTTTCTCACCTGTTGTCAAAATGACTTCTATTCGAACAATTTTGAGCTTAGCAGCTAGCCTAGATCTTGAAGTGGAGCAGTTGGATGTGAAAACTGCATTTTTTCAGGGAGATATGGAAGAGGAGATTTATATGGAGCAGCCAGAAGGATTTGAAGTAGCTGGAAAGAAACACATGGTGTGCAAATTGAATAAGAGTCTTTATGGATTGAAGCAGGCACCAAGGCAGTGGTACATGAAGTTTGACTCATTCATGAAAAGTCAAACATATCTAAAGACCTATTTTGATCCATGTGTATACTTTAAAAGATTTTCTGAGAATAACTTTATTATATTGTTGTTGTATGTGAATGACATGTTAATTGTAGGAAAAGACAACGGACTGATAGCAAAGTTGAAGGGAGATCTGTCCAAGTCATTTGATATGAAGGACTTGGGCCTAGCACAACAAATTCAAGGGATGAAGATAGTTCGAGAAAGAACAAGTAGAAAGTTGTGGCTATTTCAGGAGAAGTACATTGAACATGTACTAGAACGCTTCAACATGAAAAATGCTATGCTAGTCAGCACACCTCTTGCTAGTCATCTAAAGTTGAGCAAAAAGATGTGTCCTACAATAGTGAAAGAGAAAGGGAACATGGCTAGAGTTCCTTATTCTTCAGAAGTCGGAAGCTTGATGTATGTTNCAGACAGGGTATAAGAAAATAGTCTGTGAGGAAAATAGAGAGTGAGCGATATTGTAGTGATGTGAGAATATCAAAAGAGGTTATTTCTTTTGAGTGTTGTAGTGGTCTTTGGAATATTTTACTCGTACCTACAAAGTGTAAAATTCCTTACTATAGTGATATCAGTTGCTCCTCTCGGGGCCGTGGTTTTTTTTCCCTTATTAAAAGGATTTTTCACGTAAAAATCTTGGTGTCGTTGTTACTCTTTTATTCTTGTTAATTACCGTATCTCGGTGCTACATTATTATTCTGCTTTTATTACCGTGAATATTATTTCTATGGGGGTTTATTCCCAACAGGTATACCACATTGCATAAGATCCTTAACAATTTCGATCTTACAGTCCAAATGAAGAGCTACGAAGAATGTTCCAAACGGCTAACAACCTGCTCCTTCAATAGAATAGGTTGCCTTCAAAAAGAAAAAGAAAAAAGCATGGAACATGTTAAACATGATAATTTCATTCTAAATTTGTCCATGACTGGTTTTATTTTGTTGAATTTTCAAGTTTTACTTGTTTCAATTTTTTTCTTTTTTGATGTCTTTTTTATATTTAAATCTTTCAATATGTGGTGAAATGACAACTAATAAGTATGGTACTAGCCAAAGTTTGTAAAGCATTTAAGATTGCAGTTATTATATTACATCATTTTCATTTCACTTTAGTCACTTAAGGTTTCAGCCCTAAATGCTGATTCAGATATGAAAAATGCCATGCGTCATAAGCTTAATGTAGTCATATAGGTCGCTCATCATGGGCGGATTTAGGGACACCCCCTTCGCCGGAAAATTACATTGTACATATAAGGCAAAATCCATGTTCCGCCTCTATATATCATGTATTGAATCTCCTTGCTACAGAATAAAAGCATAGCTTAGTGGTTAAGGGGGTCAAAACCTTTGTGTGTTGGTTCAATTCCTACTGGCATAGTCCCTTTTAATGTTTTAACTTTTATTATTTAAACCCCATAGCGGAAATCCACAGTCTCTTATTACTAAATGATGATGTTAGGTCCTATCTCTTTTTCTGCTTCTTATATGTTCTTTTAATTTCATCAAGGTCTTCAAAGGTATAAGAAATTTTCTATTGAAGTTTGTCGAAATAGTTTCTGACTAGTAGTCATCACCAGTCAATTAGTGTCAAACTATGAGGTTTACTGTTGCTAAAGGTTTCATGAAATATCTTCCTTTTGAACCTGTTTCAGGAATTATTTGATTGGATAACGGTGGAGCTTGGAAAATTCATCTCCATGCATAGTGAAGGTCTGCAAGGAGGAGAGAAAAATCTGGGATTTACTGTATCACCTACAATTGGGGAAGTAGCTGCCTCCAAGGAAACAGCCATTAAATGGAAGGATTCATTATTTGGAGACGCAGTTGAGTCTTTCTATACCTAAGTAGATTTAAATCTCTAAGGGACAAAGATTCTCTGAAACAAATATGTTTCCCATGCATTTGGACTTAAAAACAGTCAGATTTAATTGACAACATCTTTCAAAGATTCAGCTACAAGAAAGGAAATTGAGGTGTATACGGTTATCAAGCAAAATGGCTCATTTGATGATTAAGTCTTTGTACTTTCCCTTCCAAGCTTGAGTAATAATTATTGATTCACAGTGTTTACATGAATATAGATAGAACATGAATACGTTACTACATCGTAATCTCAGGAAGGGAACAAGTTGTTGAATGAAATCAATCTCGCCTTGGAGAAGCACGGTGTTGATAAGCAAGTTTTTGCCCTGGTAAAAATTCTGGGATCTTCCCTTTCTCGTATAGCGGAAAAGGTACAATTATTTGCATAGAATGTGATTCAAATAGCAATTCCGCAGGTTGATGACACCATAGGAATTTTGGCTGGAGGAAGGTACTATAGTAAAGAGAGTGTGGCTGCAGTCACTCTGGGCATGGGCACTAATGCTGCGTATGTAGAATCAGCATCTGTTGTAAAATGGCCTGATCAGGCTCCAAAACCAGAAGAAATAGTAAATTCTGGTGACAGCTTTTAAGTATACCAGCTAATAAAATGTTACAATGTTTCACTATAGTGCTTGTTTGTGCAGGCAATTAATATCCAATGGGGGAATTTTAGGTCCTCCCATCTTCCAATTACCGAATTTGATACATCGTTAGATGCCGAAAGTTCAAATCCTGGTAGCCAGGTGGACACTTAACTTTTCTGCCCCCCTCAGGTTCCCTGTGATCTCCATTAACTCCTTAATCTCATTTTGTCTTCAGATATTTGAGAAGCTTATTTCGGGTACATATTTAGGAGAAGCTGTCAGGAGAGTCTTACTAAAGATGGCTCAGGAATCATCTTTATTTGGAGATAGAGTCCCACCTAAGCTAGCAATTCCATACTTGTTGAGGTAAAATGTTGATTATTTCTAATCCAATGTACAGGTTGATTGGATCTTATGGTTTTTTTTTATTAGAAACTCAATACTAGTAGATTTTCTTTCTTTCTTTCAAAATGAAATTCTCCCCATCAACTGCACTCAGAAGTTGCATTTGTCCTCCGTCTATGTGGAAATTGCCCCACCACCCAAGTAGCCAGGATAAGAAACTATTTCTCCATCTTCAGTTTAATTGTGACAGATATCATTTACGTATGTTTTTTTGGTAGTGTATAGTAATTAGTAAATGTCATAAGACATTGGCAGTAAAATCAGCTTGAAACAATTGGCATTTTGGAGCTCCATACTTCATAATTACTGTCACATTATCTTTTGTATTATTGGCTATAGTTAATGGCAGGTCCCCAGATATGGCTGCTATGCATCAAGACACATCAGAGGACTATGAAGTAATTGATGAGAAACTGACAGAAATTTTTGGGGTAGGGCTTTTACATCAGAATTGTCAAATTTAAGTAGTAATTTCCTGAGAAATGTTCTTACAGTTTCTCCAATACTAGTTTTTCATTTTTGTGGTAAGGGAGGGGGTTGAACATGTGATTTCTCTAGTTAAAGTGTTTTTTCGTCTAGGTGGTTTCAATGTGCATTATTTATAAGTAGATTATATGGACAAGTTTTTGCTACCGTGCTAATTAGTTATCTGCTGATTGCAGATAAATAACTCTACAACCATGGCAAGAGAACTAGTTGCAGAGGTCTGTGATGTTGTAGCAGAACGTGGAGCTCGATTAGTTGGAGCTGGCATCGTGGGGATTGTAAAGAAACTAGGAAGGCTTTCTAATAGGATTAGCATTATTACAGTAGAAGGTGGTGTCTACGAGCATTATCGCGTTTTCAGGAACTATCTGCATAGCAGTGTGTGGGAGATGCTTGGCAATGAACTATCAGACAATGTGATTATTGAACATTCTCATGGCGGTTCTGGTGCCAGTTCCATCTTTATTGCAGCTTCACAACCATAAGCCTCGAACTTCATAGTAACTTAGTTCTTTTAGCCGTGACAGATAGTTACATTTGGGTGGTTCATATGATTGCAGCGTCTAATTATTTATTTATTTGTTCGTATTTTTTCACATCCTCGGATCCACTGAGATGTTGTTTTCAGTATATTATTTTATATTAAACAAAGGATCTGCATTTCATGATTTACTGTCTGTTTGAGTAGGCAACAAGTGGTAGGTTTGCAAAATAAGAAAGGGCAAGCGCTGCTCATAGTTTCTGAATTCTCTATTATGTTCCTTTGTATCAAATGCTGAAAATCAAGAAAATTGATGTAGTATATGTTGGATTGTTCCTTATATTACACAATAATGATATCCAAGAATATACTAATCAAGCACAGATATCAGTACTTCTCCATATAATACGTAGCCTTAAGACTCCTGTTTAACGTCTTTCACAGCCTCTGGTGTATATTGTTATTCAGCCAAGTTAATTAGATACATTTTCTTCTCTTTACACGTAAAACAAAAGTGTGTTACGAGAGTTGCATATTCCAAGTAAGATATACTTTTTGTAGATAGAAATGATGGTGCAATCACAAGGATCAGTCCCCACTATTATATATATAAAAATGCGACAGAGAGATTGAAAAGGACTAGAGCAGCTAAGGTAAAACACCAATTTGTTGAAACAATGTCTTGCTTGTTGTCTTACATATACGGTTACCTTCACTTCTGGGAAAAAGGTTTGAATTAAAGGAACTACAAAGAGAATTCCAGCATGTTATTAGTATATCTATCTGTAGGAACCTCTCTATAATAAATGAAAGAAAACGAGCATAGAGACAAAGGCACCCTCAAGACTTTACATGAAATCTGCTGCTTGATGTGCCCATATACACCAACTGTTACTTTCAAACAACTAATGCGTCCAATGGAAGTTGGGCCCTTTGTCCAGACTTTCTGGATTGGGAGAGACAAGATCCATATGCAAAGCCCATAACCATTAAGCTGAAGTTGGGAAAACGAACATGGTTTTCTTACCCCCACGCCCACTACAGTAGGAGGACCACTTTGGATTCTTTGAATTTTTATAAGTGTTACTTGCCTTTGAAATTTAGTTTTCACATTTAACAGAATTACAGATGGAGAAAGGACGAACACTGACAAAATAAACGTGAATTGAGAATCAAGTTTGTGAATTTATACAAACTAAAATTTGTAAAGATTTTCCCGAGTCATTAGAAATGGTTTGCAACTTGGCATGGATGAAAATATAATTATTTACTTGCTTCCTTAGAAACCATTTACTCACGTATACGTATTTCAGCTAGATATTATACATGTATCCGTCAATTCACTAGCATCCGTCTACGAAATTTCACCATAGCCGGATCCAGGATTTGAAGTTTATGGGTTCCTATAACGATCTCGAATTATATATACAATAATAATTGGATTCCTAGTCAAATTTTGATAGATATTTAGTGGATTTTTTTTTATATAAATATAGAATTTGGACAAAAGCTATAGGTTCTCGGGAACTCATACCTTAAAGTTGGATCCGCTCTGAATTTCACAGTAAGACCCTTTTCCATAAGATTGTAGCAAATGATTCACCTTTTTATTTTTTTAATTACTAGGAACTTTTCGACATTAGCATGGACGAAAATAGTATGGCAATCAAAAGGCCATCAAATTTTCAAAAGTGAGAGGTATTTTGAAGTTTATAACGTTGGAGTGGTTAGTAATAATTTGAGATCCAGCGAAATAATTGTATTAAATATTTATAAACAAGTCCATCTAAGGTAGCAATATACTCATTTTGTAAGATTGGCATGGACCAGGGGAAGGACCAAGTAAAGGAAAATGTAGGGCAATGTATGCCAGAAAGTTTGATGTTTGCCCCTCCATAATATTTCGTCGGTCCATAGGATAAAGATAAAAGTAATCATCATAATTAATTAGGTATGATTATCTGTCTCTCTTACACGTTCTCTTTCTAGAGACCCGCGTGCTGTTCTGCAGTTTTAACATAAAACTAGATTCTGCCCCATGAAATTTAAGAGCCCTTTGACCATGCAAAGCAGTTTGTGTTATATTTTTTTCAATAGAAAATTACTTAAACCTTAAATAATATTTAAATTTTTAAAAATGCTTCACTTTAAAGCACTTAGAAATTTTATATAGACAGCCTACTAAACACTTCTTTAAAGTTTTCTAAAATTTTGCCCAAGCAGAGCATTTGTGCAGTGCATTGGCACAAAACACATCAATTTATCACTTAATCGGAGAAATTATTACGCTTTTGAGAAAATATTGAGCATGATATTTTTTTTGGGCGTATCGATCACCTGATTATATGGTACATTATTTCATAAAATTGACTAATAAACTATATTACAGGATGATTAACCTAGAATGATTCGGACGACAGATACTAATGACAGATTGCACGCATTTGCGGCTTCTAAAATTTAGGATACAATTAGGGATATATCTAATGATAATGACCTACTTAACAAAGTTTAGATCACACAATTACTTCCCCCTAATTCATTAATTATGATTAACCTAAGACAATAACGATTCAATTTAAATAATAGTAAAAAAACAAAGAGAAAATCATTTGTTTATGTTTATATGTCCAAAGCCAAATGACTAGGGGACAAGGTGAACAAACTTCGAGACCTTATAAAAACTTAGTAATAAGACAAGGGAGAAGCAGGAGATTGAAATTACAGTACGTGTTTTGTGGGTTGGAGAGAGCATCGGGTTACGTAGCATTTAACTGAGCCCGATGCCATTTTTAGTTGATAGTATAAATTATCGCACCCAACTGAAAATACTCAAAATAGTCCAAGTTAGGAAAGTAACGGACAGCTGGAACCAGATTTTGAAATGACCAAAATAACCTGGGAACGTAGCCAAATCAATGATCAATCTCCTCTAATAATAATACGGGAAATTAGTCCATTTATATAATATTACCGATATCAGTCAAATAGATATTTGTAGCAAAAAAAAAAAAAAAAAAAAGTCAAATTTTGTTTTCTTTTGAGCGGGTGTTGTTGGAATATACTGGGTACATTTTAAGGAATCTGAATTTTGGGATGACTTGGTGGAGTTTTGGGGAGAAATTCAAAAATAACCAGATTTACAACTTGTCGTTCAAAAATAGCTCAGTTTCAAAAGTAATCGAAATTTAGCAACTTTTTATATAAAGATAAATCTGAGCGAAAACACTGTTCAAAACCCGGAAAATACGCCAGTATATTATACTGGAGTTCCAGCATAAGTATGCTTGAACTCCAGCATATTATACTGGAGTTCCAGGATAAGTATGTTGGAACTCCAGCATAATATACTGGAACTCCAGCATAATATACTGGAGTTCCAACAAGTATAATTGTCCAGCATAATATACTGGAGTTTGGAGCACCGATGCTCCAGTCTCCAATATATTATACTGGAGTCAGCAAAGTATAACGGTCCAGCATAATATGCTAGAGTTCATACACAGGTGCACCGAACTCTAGTATATTATGCTGGACCGGTCTCTGTTGCAGCAAAATAGTGGCTATTTCATTAACTTCGTAAACGCTGGTTATTTTTGAATGACCCGTTCGAAAACTGGCTATACCGTGCGATTTTTACAGAGTTTTGAGTGGTTTGAATTGAAAGTTTAAAGTAGAAGATGGAAATGAAAAAAATTACTATATGTGTATCACACTGCGTATCATTTGTGTATCACATATGTATCAAATGTAATCACACGTATATCCATGTATACTCGTGTGTGAGATACATGCGTGATACATTGTATAAGGTAAAATATGTTATGTTAAGTGATTGCATATGGGAGTGACACGCGGAGATAACTATTCCGTCTATTACCGGAAGGAATGGTACTCATGAAGATGCAATAAATATCTACCACCCAGTTGCATTTAATGGAGAATATTCTACAACATTTAGTACATTGTCCGTTATAAAAAAATTCATTCATGCCCGCTGTTACACATTCTTCAATGGCATTCATAATTGACATTAAAGAGGGGCATGATCCTAGGACCATATTCTCTAGGTGTATAAATAGTGAGCTCTATTATCATTGTAAAAGACACAAATTTCTAGCAAACTTACACTATAATCTATCAAAACTTTATACAATTTTATCTTCTTGCTTTTTGATTTCATTACTGTTGTGCCCGAAAGCCCTCCTCCCGGAACTACTATTTCTGCTATTTCATCTTCATCTCAAAGCGAAGTATCGTATATTTACTCAATTCTCTTATTATTTCAGGATCAAATTAATTCACTTGTCTAGAAATTACGTATATATTCAACTGTACTATTTTACGGGTAAATAGTTTGGCGCCCATCGGGGGGCCTAGACAATCGTGTAATTTAGTTGGTCCTTGCCTCTTTTACTAACGTGTTTTAATTATTTGTTCTTAGCAAAAAATGGCAAATAATGGTGTTGACAACACATACAATCTTGAGGCCCAAGGAGACCAGCCTCAGCATGAGGATTCAAAGCGATACTCGCAATGAGGGGAACGATGCCACGCCGGTCCACGGCAGGCGGTACCCGCGACATGTTCGGTAGGCGACTCCCGATGATGCTGAGGAGCAGCATGTTGTTGAAGCGGTGAGGGTCCTGCAGGAGCAACAAGAGGTCATTCTAGGCCATCTCACACGGCAGGATAAGGTTATGACAGAACTAAAGTAGAGGTTATCGGGTGCTTACAATAACGCGAATGGTCAAGGTCCAGTTCCTCTTGCTTCCGCAAATCAAACAACGCCAGAAGGTCGACAACAACACCCTGAGGGATGAGATCAGCTTTGATAGGGCCGGGGGAGTGGATCTGGTCACAACAACGAAAGCGATCCCTTCAAAAGCGAACTCTTACGGTTTATGAGGGAAGTGAACGCCCGCATGGACCAAATCTCGGGTGTACCATGGTGCTAAAAGGACCAGACTCAAAGAAGTACACTCAATTACCGTACAAACCGAGCATGGCACCAGAATTAATCCTGAAGCGGTTTAAAATGCCCGACGTGCCAAAATGTGATGGGACTTCGGACCCTCATGAGCATATTACCACCTATACAACGTTGGTGAAGGC